GGGAAGAATAGTAATAGATAATGGTTGAAGAATAGTTTTAGATATATAAGAAGAATAGTTTTAGAAATACAAGAAGAATAGTTTTAGATATAGAAGAAGAATAGTTATAGATATACAAGAAGAATAGTTATTGATATATAAGAAGAATAGTTATAGATATAGATATATAAGAAGAATAGTTATAGATATATTTATAAAGGAGAATGTGCTGGTGGAAAATTTAGACGATAATTCACGATAAAACAAAAAGGTCAGCGAGTTCTGCTTAACACTAATATATAGTTTTGTTTCTTCTTTACAGGTTGAAATAGATGAAGACTTAAACAAATGTAAAACCATTTTGTACTGAGAGATCTAAAAATTATGCTTGATGCTAAAACGAGACTTTGTTTTCATACCCTTATGTCATATAGAAAGCCTATCCAAGTTGATTTAGGTTTCATTTGACTTGCTGTTGTTTTTGTTGTTTTACCCCCCTTTTTTTTGTTGGTTGTAATGGTTGTTGATTAATTTTGTTGGTTGTTGTGATTGATGGTTATTGTTGATGGTTTTTGTTAATGGTTGTTATGGTGTTTTTTAGCTTAATAAATTTTGTTTTCATTAATATTAATATATTATTTGAGGCAATTTGAGTAAAAATGTGGACAGACTAAATTACATCAATCGTGATTTTTCGGTCATATCGCGCCAGGACCTCTGTCTTGAATATGTGGGCGAGATTTCCCATCCAATTTCGATAAATATCAGAAATCCCTATTACATCACTCAGAATTGTATATCTTCATGGACCTCTGTCTAGAATATTGGACCAAGCTTATTTATTACCTTTCACGGAATGTACCAAAAATTCCCGAATTTTTTGCAGTTTTTTACAGGACGAAAAATCGTTTTTGAATATAATTTCAAGAGTAGGCTATTGTCGCTTTACTTGCAAATTATTTCCTATTGCACACTGCATGGTTTTGCCAGTCTTCGTTAGCCAAATCAGATACAGATACAGATAAAATACGACGTAACAGGCTTTAAAATATTATCGATTCGAATAAATGTATATTTCCCCCATTGCATACTGCATGGTGTCGCGCAAATTAGTAGTAGAAAAGTAAGCCTTAATTATCTGTTTCATTGCAGTTTTGAAATGTGGTTTGAAAAGTCGTCACACCAACAACTTTGAGAGAAGAAAAGATAAGCCAAGTAATTCATTCATTCATTCATTCATTCATTCATTTATTCATTTAAAGTTTCATCCAAGTTATTGAGCACGTCTGTTGAGATGAGCTCATAACAATTCTATATTCTTGATGATAAACTCAATTCCATCGATGTCTTTTTGAGCCGCGAAATGAATTTTATTTCCCTAAAGTTGGTGTATGTCGCTATAACGTGGTCTATTCATTCAATGTCTTGACCTTACATAAAACAGTAATACAATGTTGTTTAGTGGCCTTTCCTTATAATCCGAAACGCCAGAATTAAAATCTGAGCTCGAACTTCTGAAAAAAATTGCTCAGACAGAAAAAAAGCTTTTAGCTTCTTAGCTTTGAGCTCCTTAGCTTTGAGAAGTAGGCCGTTCCAGCTGTAAAACATTTTTCAAATTCGGGTTGTTCCTAAACTTGACAGAAAAATGTTTTGAATGTAGCGTGTGACGGATTATGAAATTACCCCCCTTTGACCAGATGCAAATTCTATGAGTCATGCTTCACGTGCTAGATAAATGGATGCTTTATTTGTTTTTAACTTTATTACAGAATTTTTGTGTATTGAACGTTATAAAAACAGTTATATTACAGGTAAGTTTATAACTAATTTTAATACTTTTCTCGGGTCTATTGGGTTTCATTCAATAGCATGACTTATTCAGTAATATTGTAATTGTCACGTATTCACATATTTTAAAGTATGGTCCGAAACATTCTCGTATTGATATTTAGTTAAGTTTCATTTACTTTTGTTTTTTTTTATTTATTTGTCCATTAGCCCACTCAGGATTTTCAGAAACATATATCGGTAGCATCAGATGAATTAATTTCTATGCAGGCTATAATTTTTTTCAATTTTGATAAAAAAACACAGGGCTTAGACCGAAATGTGCTGCCTTTTCTCATCCTTATTGATGTTATTTCATTCATTCATCATTTTTTAATGATTCATTCATTCATTCATTTATTCATTCGATTGATGCATTCATTCATTTGATTCATTCATTTATACGATTCATTTATTTGTTTTAATATCCTTTCGCTCATTCATTTTGTAACATGCGCGGCATCATGGGATGAATGAAATTCATTCATTCATTCACTAAATCACTCTGATTTTTTTGTATTTGAATAACGTGTCGGAAGCATGAAATGTGGTAATGTCAATTCGAGTCGAGTTTTCATATTGCGAACTGTTCACCTTGTTGACTTCTCATCTCATCTCATCTACTTTACTCATAAGCCTCATTTCCGACCACTGTGGTGTCTGAATCCCATTTTGCCTATTTAATGAACTGAAAAAATATGAAGTAAAAATTCTAGACCATTTTTAAAAGTAAATTCAAGGTAGAGCAGTGTGGTAATTTCAAATCTAAAAACATGCCATATTTACATTGGATCCGAAAATTCTAAGACAAACACTATGCATATAAATTGTGAAATAACAAGTACTACTGACTTCGCACAGAAGTTGGTGAATCGAATTTTTAAAGGGAGAGTCTGATATTTCATTCATTCATTCATTCATTCATTCATTCATTCATTCATTCATTCATTCATTCATTCATTCATTCATTCATTCGAATTCATAACTTATTCATTGGTATCAGTTAGTTTACCCAAAAGCCACGTCTGTCACATATTTCATTTCATTTCAGTTGTTAGTGACAGTTTTGTTTTTGAAAAAAGTAATGTATAATAAACAGTATGATAAACAGTTCTACGAAAGGTAAGCTCATTGAATTATTTCTCAAAACAAGGCGTAGCTTTCATTATTCATTGCTATCAATATCTCAGACCCATCACATATCACAAAGTGGAAAAGATTAGAGTTATGCCACTGTTTTTGCAAAATGTTCCATTTGTACGGTTCCGGTTTCATAAATCTAATAAGAACAGTAGGACGTAAAACTCATATTCATTGAATTTCATTTCATGTTATGGTGACTGCAAATTCAAGCTTTGATAAAAATTTTAGTTCCGAAAGATATTCTGAGTATAGAACACCATGAAAAGCAGTGTTACAAATTTAAGGTAAGCCAACTAAATACATAAGAATTTACGGGTTGAGACTTTTTACTATGATGCGGAAAAAAATAACTAATAATGGAGACAAACAATGCGGTCCAATTTTCATACATGTGCCTTTAGCTATATATAAGCAAATTGCCTTTTAAAAAGAACTTTGTGAAATATGCTAGGTATGGGTTAAGAAGATAACTTATAAAATATCTTGGATACGAAGAATAGTTATATAATTATAATGGTTAAGAAGAATAGTTATAGATACTTATTTAGAAGAATTTGTAGATAATGGTTAAGAAGAATAGTTGTTGAAAACAGATATGGAATGAAATTAATAGAGTTTTACGTCCTACTTATCTACAACAAAAAAAAACAGATAAGAAGATAAATAGATAAATGGTTTAGATATATATAAAGTTTCCTTTCCACCAGGGTTTTATCAATTACATTTTGGATAGGTCTAAATTTATCATATTCGTCTCAGTGAATCCGTATTTCGACACCGGATACCCCTTGCATTACTGCAACTATAACAACCAAGGCTACGGGTCTGCGTCTTAATGATTATTAATTCCATGTCTTCATTATATTTACAACAGAATAGTCAGATCTATTAGAAGGTTAGTTATAGTTAAGAAAAATAGTTATATATATATATATGAATAATATTGTAGATGATGGTTGGGAAGAATAGTTATAGATATACAAGAAGAATAGTTATAGTTATACAAGAAGAATAGTTATAGATATACAAGAAGAATAGTTATAGATATACAAGAAGAATAGTTATAGATATACAAGAAGAATAGTTATAGTTATACAAGAAGAATAGTTATACAAGAAGAATAGTTATAGATATATAAGAAGAATAGTTATAGATATACAAGAATGATAGTTATATACAAGAAGAATAGTTATACAGTAAGAATAGTTACAAGAAGAATAGTTACAGATATATAAGAAGAATAGTTATATTTATATAAGAAGAATGGTTATAGATATCTTTATAAAGGAGAATGTTCTGGTGGAAAATGTAGACGATAAAAAAGGTCAGCGAGTTCTGCTTAACACTAACATAACGTTTTGTTTCTTCTTTGCAGGTTGAAATGGGACAGAGGATGAAGTCTTACTCATTAAACTAATATAAAACCATTTTTGTACTGAGGGGTCGAAATATTATGTATGACTGCTAAAACACCCTACGTTTTCATATCGTTTTGAGATACAACGTTCATTTAGGTTTCATTCGACTTGTTGTTGCTTTGTTTTGGATGGTTGTTGTGGTTGGTGTTTGATTTGTTGGTTCTTGTGACCGTTGCTTTTGTTGATGTTTATTGTGATTGTGAACAACTTTTGACTTCATATTCTTAATTTGTGATCAAAGTTCTCGAATAATTTGTGGGGTTATTTTTAAAATTTATTTGAAATACAGAGTGCGTATCGTGTGGCAGGTGATTATTTATATATGAAAGGAGTAATGCAATCGATCAAGGTTTTGAAAAGAGTAGGTGATAGAAAGAAAAATGTTGAAAACCCCTGCCTTCTTGTAAAATACAGGTACAAACCTTGACCTTGAATCATGAATCTTGAATTTGATGCCAGTTGATTAAAA